AAAAAAAATTAATATCTTAAAAAATATTTTAAAACTTAAATTTTTAACAATAATTCTCACTCCCCTACTTAAATTTCCTGGGTCCGTCCCTGGCTGGTACCACCTATGGTTGACAGTAATTGTAAGAATTTATTAACTTTTCTGGTCCTTTTCAAAGAATATTAAAACGCAAATCTGGATTAGGCTTTGGCACAATAAATAAATAGGGATCAAATTTATTGGCGTTTTTCTCTTATCTATAATTTAAGGATTTATGTCGGTATTTTTATTACAAATATATAAAAAATTAGTTTTTTTTGTCCGTGCAACGTGGTTTTTTTTTATTTGGTATACTATATTTATAAAATATTAATGATATAATAAAGAAGAGATGAATATTCATAAAAAGGTATTTAAATATCATGCTTTATTGTTAATTTGTTATTATTCAATAGTGATTTGTGGTAAGACATTAAGAGCTTTTTTTTATTCAATAATTACTTATGGGATATCATTAAAAACTTCGTAATAAATAATATTTTTTATGTAACCTTCGTGATCTTATTCATCATGGCCAATGAAAATCTTTAGACCAATTGGAGATGTCACTTTAGATGCAACTACGTATAATTGGCTATGGCTGAAAACAAGATTTGGTAAATATAGGCCAACATACTTTAGGAACTACCCTTGACTCTTATTAATTATTCGTAACACCACTTTAAAAGAAATTGTCTTCTCTTTAATATGAACGGTCATTGACCACTTTGATTGCTATAAAGTCATTGTAATTCTTGATTTTAAAACTTTCTCACCAATCTTGTTTCTTATCATGATATTGCCTTCAATTACCCATTCTCCCAATTGCGTTATTTTTATTCCGGTGTCATTGTAGGTTTTTTTATCTCATAATTAGAGGAGTAATAATATTATCATTTTGTAACTACTAATATAATAATTTTGAATAAAATTTTTAATACTATGATTTGTAATTGTTAATATGATAATTTTGAATGAGATTTTTATATTTTATGTTGTTATTTAATTATTTATTTTTTATGATTTTTTATTAATTAATAGAGATTTTAATGTACATGTAAATGGCATAATTTTTCTCTTCTTTTAATTCTTTTCATTATTATTTTTCGTTATGCATATATTAAGGTGAGTTTAATTTTTAATAACCCATGCATAGAGTTTTTAACTATATATTAATATGTTCAACTTCCTCTATAATAATAATTATACCGACACTAAGCAAGAGTGTCGACACACAACCCGTGTTGGGCTTTTGAGTCCTTTTGCTATTTCTTTAAAGATAAAATTGCAAGTCTGGTCCTAAGACTTCTACATGGTGAACACTCGAATCCTATATCTTCGAATTTATTCATTTAGCTCCCTAATTGGAACCTTTTGTTTCACAATATAGACCTCAAACTTTGAAAAGATTTACAACTTAGTCCCATGACTTCTATTATTATGCATTCCAATATTTTTTTATGCGTTTCCAAGGATACGCATCTTTCACCTCTGGATGCATCTCTTGTTTACTTCCTATTTCAACACTATGTTTAGGGCATAGACTCAATGGGGTTTAAGTAGTAGTTTATTTTTTGTTGGGGGTGGGTTCTCTCTGTATCTTTTCCATTCCTTTTGTTTGTCTTCTATTTTCCATAGTCATTCTCGGAGGATGGACAAACTAAATAAATAAATTAAATATAATATAATAAAAGGTGAAGAGAATGATTATTTAATTAGGAAAAAGGGACAATGATAGGTGACAACAATAATAAAAATAAAAGAGAAAAAGCTAGTCTTATAAATAAAATTGGAAGAGTTATCAATAATAATTAAATTAATAATAGATTACTTAGGGACATTGTTAATAATTTTTAAGAAAATAATGGAATATATAAGACAAAAATAACCCTACAATTTATTTATATTATATCATGGATAGTCAATTCCATATAATATGAAATTATTAGATATTGTTTAGAAGTGCATTCATCTTTTCTTGCTATAGTAAGATATTTTTATTCTTTGTAACATTGTTCTAAGTCCTTCAACAATCCTTGAAACATGGTCTTTATATTCTGCTTCTTTTTCTTTCTCCATTTCATGCAAAGAAGATTGTCTTTGAAAAGCTTCTTCTATAGCTTGCATTTTGGTGTAAGTAACATCTTCAATTGCAAAATCATGAGATTTCTTTAGTTATAAGATAGCATGCTTTGCAGCAGATTGTTCCGCTTCTTCCGTAGTTGCAAAAGGATAGTCATTGTAAATTAATTTCATAGCAATATAATCCTCTTCTTAGATTAGTTGAACGCTGGAGGCATAATTCCCATCATCACTTAGATTTGTTTGATATTGTGGCTGGCTTAGATTCAATGAAATAGATATCCTCTCTAGTAGTTCCTTGAAATTAATTCTTTCCACAAATCTAGGGTTTTCCATGCTACAAAATGGTTGTCAAAAGAAAATGTTGAATTATAATGTATAAATAATGTAATTGAAAAAAAATGAAATAAGTATCAAATACCTAGTATCAAATGTAATATACCTTTTTGAAATTGTTGGTTGACTCAAATTCCTTCATCAAAAGTTTGCATGGAGAATGGGGAAGGGTGGAGCTTAAATAGAAATTATGTAAATATATCTCTTTAATTAGATTGTTATTATAGGATAGGTTAGGAATAGTGACTCTTTATTTTTAATCATTATCATTACTATGGTATTAAATTGTATTTGTATAGCCTATTTAAATTCATTGACAAAAAAAAAATCTTTTTAAATAAAGAATGAAAATAACATTATAGCTTATAACGATATAATAATTGTAATCATTATGATATTATAATTGCGTATATAGTTATATTTTTAAAATAATTTTTCAATAAATTCTAAGTAAAACTTTCTAATTATTTTTTGTCTTCTCATATTCTTGTCTTCCATTTCTTATCTTTATATTCTCAATCATTTTATAATTATTAGATATAATGTATTAAACTAAAAGAAGATGAATAAGT